TAAACATTCGATATGGCGGGCACTTTTTATTCGTCTTCGATACGTAGACGAATACACGGAAATTTTCGCGGTGTCTTGGCAACGTACAACACAGGCCGATCCGTTCTTCGATGGAAAATTAAATTTCAGCAATTAACCACCAGCTATTAGCGGTATAGCTGTTTGGTGTGTGCCATTAGCAATGCGCGGGAATAGACGGAAGAGTTTACCAGCCGTAGTGTGCGCGTGTGTGTACATCACGTCGCCTCTATTAAATCATAATGGGTTCACAATGTGAGCCTCTGCTCCCGGAGGTTGACTAGAAACGAGCATAGACACCATAACGAAACCCAAGACCTATCTTGTTCAGATCTCTCATTTTTCGAATCCTAATTCTCGAAATATCTAATTTTTATCTTATATATATCTCAACGATCAAAAGACTTGGATCACTTGGATATTCAAACGAGATTTTTACACCTGATTATCCTTAATATAACGTCACCTTAATATCGGTCATTATCGTCAAGTGTTCAACTTTTCTTCAATAACCAATCATTACAACTGCCATCTCGGCTGCCACTAATATTCAACCTGAGAGATTTGCCTCGATTATTCCATAATGTACCTTAATGTTGTCGCAATCGTCGATAGAGACGAAGTAAGCCAATGTTGTCACTTTTCACCCCGGCTTGGCCCCCGAATTATTACTAATTTCGAAAAAAAGAAGAAAGAAATTGATATTGATTTAATTATATCCAGCAATGTATCGATAATAAAAACATCTCTTTTCACGATAACCAACTTTTCTCCCTATGCGATTTTTCCATCTAGATCGAATCATCATCTCTCGATTCTATCCAAGATTATCGACACGTCTCCGCAAATACGGATTATCGATACAGTGGATACACTTCGAGGAGGAATATTGCGCGAGAAGGACACACAAATAAAGACAAAGAGAGAAAGAGAGAGATGGATAAAGAGACGCGTAGAGCGCTCGAGCGCGGAAGGAGAGAGAGAGAGGGGGAAAGAGAGGTTAGACGGAGACGAAAAATGGAGAAGGAAGGAGGAACAACCGTGATGATTGCAAGAGAGATAGAAAATGTGGCCGCTTGATAACAGCAACGCGAACCGAAGTGCCATAGATGCATCCACACAGTTCTCCGCGTCGCGAGAGTTCCTCTTCGCCTCGTCTCGATCGGTTCCTCCTCGGGATCGGAAAGTGGGGATCCGCAGGAGATTCATCTCTCTCGGTTTCGGAGGATCGATTTCAGTCGGATAGGAATATCGTTCGTTTTCGGACAAAATTCGAGACGATTTTTTTTTTTTTTTTCCCCACTTTAGGAAATCCTCTCTTAGTCTTGGATCGGATCTGGTGTCGCGATTTTTTTTTCTTTTTTTTTTTTTTTTGGTTCGCCTAAGGGAGGATTTTATTCGAAGTATCAGCATCGAAGCGACAACTCGCTTTTCTCCCCCGAAAGGATACTTGTCTTTTTTTTTTTCTTTTGCGGTTAGATGTGAGTGAATATTTTGTGAATATTTTGTTCCTTTCCCTCGCAATCGATTCGTAAAGTAAATTCGTAGGATTTAAGTAGATACACTCCCGCTCGAAAGAAACGTTAGAAAAATTTTTTGGAAAGATTGTGATCTGTGCCTGAACCGAGTTTTTTTCCAAAGGCTACTCTGACTTTCATTTTTTTTTTTTTTCCAAAGATTTTTACGCGGCAGTGTATATACTATGATCCAATATCCGAATTAAAAGAATTATCTTATCAGACGCGAAATACATATTTTACGCAAATCACCTTTCTCACTTGTTTTTTTACTTGATTCACCTAACTTCACGTTTGTTTCCCTAAAACGTCGATTCGATCAAAAATGTCAAAAATGTCATTGCTACCGTTCCCGTGAGTGATCGGACCGAAAGCAATTATCTACCAATAATTCTTGAAAAATATCAGAAATATCTCTGATCTGTGCGCTTTCCCCCTCCCCCCCCCC